TATAAGTGTGTATGTGTAAAAACATAAAACAWTGTGCAGATCAAAGCAGATATTTAAGCTGGATTAGTTGTTGTTATGTAACAGAGAACATTTAATTTGGACTTAAAACTATTATATATAAGTGACAAATTTACATACGTATATACAGTATATATACAGTGRAATTTCCCATAAGCGGACGCCGGCGGTACCATCCATTCTTACCGATTAATAGAGTTGCCCTCAATAACTGTTCACGGTTGATGGACATGTCCGCTTAGTGGAGCTTTCACTGTATTACTACAYATTTTTCATAATAGCAATTTCGTTAAACCAGATTTTACATTTGTTAGTATGGAGCAGCAACAAAACGCCAAAATATTCGTTCATTCACCTTCAGGAAGATTACTAGGGTTACCAAGATGCGCGATTATCTTGCGAATAATTTCAGTTTGTGCTATATAGGGCATGTCCGTAATATGAATATTTTTTATAAGTAAAAATGAAAATGGGATTATGTTTCAATACTTAGCACACTACTATGCATTGTTTTCCGATGAGATGATTACGGTTTTACAGACAATTAATGCGATGTTATAGAATGGACCTGAAGAAATGAAAGCTTTTTGAAATGAATTATGAGAAAATGTAATATATCATTTAGCCGATTTGAWCAGCCTTGACTGAAACATTGAACACTCTAGACCACAAGACTAGTTTAGAAATCACCCAAAGAGGCCACTACTGCGTTTCTGAAACCAAAATAAATAAGTAGCAAGTAGAGACTCGGCTTCAAATAAACAATTTTCAAAATTTTCAGGAAACCATAAATACCATTTACCTCACAGAAGGTATATTTTCTGGGGTTGGGTACAGAAATTAATCTTCAGTTCAGAAAGAACTTCGAAAAAGGTATACACTTACAAAGGATTGAAGTTAGAGCAAAAGGTAATGTACTATAATTTTTACTGCTGAAGTAACCGCAATATCTTTCGATAGCGACGCTAACGGGATAASATTGCTATTGTCATCCATAATTGGGCATCCGGTTATGTAGTTTRTAATACATCTTTTTGGGCTTCTTTTTCTGGCATACAATAAAAKTCCTAATAGTACAATTATCTCGGAAAACTGAAAAGATTTTCGCTGGAAATGTTAGTCTAATCACAAAAAATGGCTTCCCCTTTATGGCTTCATCTTTGTCAGCTTATTAATTAARATAAGAAAATGTTTAGTTATCAAAAATGTGTAGAGTTCTCCAATTTTCGGTACTGATTTTTAGCTTATAAGTATTTACGAAGACTTTTTTTTTTTCAGTGCATACCCAAGCCTTTTCCAAATTTCCAGATGTTAATAATCGAACAGCATTAAATTATATTTAAAGATCGTAGTAAGCAATTCGTGTGCGTTGATGGTGAATGAATGAATATTTGATTAGAAAAAATAAACAAATGAATGAGTAAAATGACAAGCACACGAACTGACAGCAAAATTATGACGAAAGACGGTATGAATGAATTCAAAGATGACGATATATGTATGAATTATATAGCATAATGTTAATTGACTTGACAATTCTACATTTCATATTAAAAATTATATGACTATTACTAGTGACGAGACAATTGACGTGGACTCATGATATATGACACATKATACGGGGCTTAATAGAGCACTAAAACCATGATTTGATGGCTTGACTCAACGTGACTTTTAAAAAAACTATATACGAGAATATGACAACTAGCATAGCTCATGACATGACAACTAGTAGTGTAATTCATGACATTACAACGGGCTCAACTCATGACATGACTATTGACATTACAAATGACAGCGTTTTACATGCCTAACTAAGCAAACCAATGAAATTAGAAATGATAAATATAATGACTTACACGATCATAATGACATGAAAATACTTTACTTGAAACGATGTAATGGYTAATATAATTTTACTTTGACACAAGATGGCTGACAAAACTAGCGATAGCATGACATGATTTTTGACAAGGCGAGTGAATTGTCAAATTGATTGAAAAAGTATTAAAGTTTACAAATGAAAATTGAATGCAGAAATGAGAAGTGGCTGAAAAGACAGTGAATTTTAAAACTTTCAACCAAGTTCAAACGTTATTGAAAGCGTAGGGTATAACAAAAGCCCGCCTAGACCAAAAATAATARCATGCTCTGGTAATACCATCGAATACAACTAGTATATATGAAACCAAACATCTGGCAACTTCCAAATATTTACAGACAATTGCACTTTATATAATTTTTTTTTTTTTCTACTAAATATGCCTCTATGCAACACCAACTAGGCCCGCAATAATATACATTTCGATATCCGAATTCGTATGGAGTGCTTTATAAATAATACTAGATAAATGGATTTCAACTATTTAGCACTTGAGTATGTCATGAGTGTGTCATATGATCGTGACATGTCACTTTACCTCATTCTTTTCATTAGTTTTGTGTTTGTTTTCTCTTTCATTCACATCTTCACTACGGAATGCTTGCTTATCTGTACTAGACCTAATGCTAACGGGTTTTTTCTTTGTCCCATCTGTACTTTGTGATTTTTGCGTTACAGATGAGGAGTCTCGTGGTTTTTGGGCAGTGCTCTCTTTATGAATTTCGGCTTCATAAATTCGTTGCTCAGTGGCAGTGGCTTCAACACTTTTGCTTGTTGAATTTTTTGTACTTTGCTCATGGGATTCATGGCTAACAGGACTAACATGCGTTCCATGGGAGTCATGGGTAGCAGTTGCCTGATATTGTTCTATTGGCTTGTCTTTTTGTTCATGATACTCTTGTTGTTGCTGCTGTGATTGTGCGGTCTCAACAACGGCAGCTTGTTCTCGCTCATAATTAGCCTCACTATGCGCTTGTCTTGATTGTTCTTGCTCTCTGTTTTGCCACTCGTGTGTTGGCTCTGCTGCTGGCTGTTGCCATTCGGGTTGGTGATGTTCTTCATGCTGATGCTGTTCATGATGGTGTTGTTCTTGTTCATAATGTTGTTCGTGGTGGTATTGCTCTTGCTCATAGTGTTGTTCGTGGTGGTATTGCTCTTGCTCATAGTGTTGTTCGGGTTCATAATGTTGTTCGTGGTGCTGTTCACTCGCTTTAATGCTATTGCTACGCTCTCTGGCTAAATTCTCATAGTAATCTTCCCAAGGATCACGAAATTCTTTAATTTCTTCGAACTCGTAATAATTCGRCGACGGTGAATGTTCGTGTTGCTGCTGTTGATGATGATGGTGTTGCTCATGTTCGTAATGATGATAGTAATGATCGTGTTGTTGTTGTGCTGGTAGTTCGGGTCGATAGTGATAGTAATAATGAATAATGGCGCCACACTGCGTGCCAAGGACATTTTTTCGTTTCGTACAATTTGGTGATTCGTTAACGGGTATTGTAGCGGTTTTCGTTTCGTTTCAATCACAAAGCAGGCCAATAGTGTTTTTTGGTATGTTTTTAGCATAATTTGGAGATAGCACATTCATATGAGTTAAGGCATAAATGCGTTTCGAATACAAATTATGAGTTTTGTTTTTGAATTTTGGTTTTTTGGAAAATTTAGTTCGGTTTTATTATTTCATTTGGCATGTTAAATATTAGAAAAATATAAAAATATGTAACTTTTAGCAGTTGTTAGTAATAATTGGTGTAAAATAAGRAATCATATATGCATAACGGTAGTTATATATATCAATTAGAACTAGTAACAGCATGCAGATATGCTTCAAATGCTTAAAGTTTTCTATAAAATATTTCGAATTGAATAAATGGCGCTAAGGAGTAATTATAACCTGAAGTTGAAGCTGTATTAACTTGTGTAAGGWCTTTATTGGTTAATAGTACTTTTTTGTTTCTAACTAAGTTGAAATTTTCAATTTGTTTTAAAATTTTCGAAGTATATATATAAATACTCTGTGCAATGTTCACTTGGCTGTCTAAGGTCAGTCTTCGAAAATGATGATATGTTTTCAGGTATAGGGTTTTCCAGTAGAGATTTTGTGATTTTTAAGTACATATCGGCTATTATGAGCGCACATTTTCTTTACATACATACATACATAGTGTTCAAGTGCCAAGTAAGACAAAGAGCCGCTCGAAGTTAAGAAAATATTGCTGCCGTTCAAACAAGTGTTGCTGAAGATCGCAATTTATTGATTCCAAGACGTTCTCAGGAATCGAAAATGTCTAAAACTACAACCTGGCGGGCTTGCATCCGCATAAAGTTCTTCTCACTCAAGAACTGAAGCCATTGRAACAACGTAAAAATGATTAAATTGCTGATTTTGCCCAGGACCCTGACAATTATTTTAAAAAAGTCATATTCTCCGATGAGACTCCCTATCACTTAAGTGGTTAGGTAAACAAACAAAATTCTCGAAGAGAAAATCAACAAATTATTCATGAACCACCATTTCTTTTCTCTAAACTGGCAGTTCGGTACTGCCTTCGAAAGAAGCTGGCGACAGCGTTACTTGTCAATGTAGAGCAGTAYACTATAGATCGATGATAACCACCTTTTTATGGCCGCAGTCGAAAGAATTGGATCTCGATAATATCTAGTTCCAACAATATGGGGCTAAGTGTCGCACAGTATGTGTTACGAGTATTGCGATAAAAGTTTGCAGATTCAATTATTTCAAGAAATTGTGACATTGAATGACCACCAAGAAGTTGAGGTTTAACACCATTAGACTACTTCTTGTGAGGTTSATTGGTTCATCTTTAAGCTTTACGAGTGAATATTGAACATGCTATACATGACATACGACTTGGTTAAGTAGAAAATGTAATCAGAAATTGTGTTCATCGAACGCGTTCCTGTAAAAGAAGTCGTGGAGGTCATTTGAATGATGTTATATTCAGAACCTTATTGTATCAATTTTACTTCATTTCTTTTATTTTTTTTAGAAATCATATCACACTTGTTATAAAACCCGGTGTTAAACAATCTAAGACACGCTGGAGAACCTGATTATTTTGTATGTAATTCGTAGACAGCGTGATTCCCAGTCTCGAYGAAGTAATACAGTTTAAAAAAGTGATTTTATTAACTTTTAAGTGGCCACTGGTAAACAAATATACCTTAGAAGTGAACCAAGAAAGCTCCCTTAAAGGTGATGGATATTCATTAGTCGATCATTTCATAGCCCAGTAATTTGATATGTAGCTCCTATAAGGAGGCCTGAAAATTCTAAAATATGGCTAAAACTGTTACAAGAAATCAAAAATTACACATGGAATTTCGTACAGAAAAAGTAAAATTTTGAATAATTTTTTTTTTTTTTCAATTCTTTTTCCAATAAACTTTGAATTTAGAAATTATTAGCGCTTATATTTAATTAATGTAAACGCAGAAACTCCATCCAAACTCAGTAGAATAAAACTTTCTTATTCAAATAGTTCACCTAGAACTAAGTTGTGGTACAAAGGCAAAACTAAGCTTAGTACTGAAATCAAATTTAATTCGCAGAAAAAAAATATTGTTAAAGAACCTCTCACTAGTCAAATTTTTAGAGGGAATTTTTAGGAATACATTATTCCAATAAATGCTTGGCCATCAACTAATTTGACCATGTTTGGGGTATAGAAGCTGTATTTTGTATGAAAAGTTTAAAAATATTTTTGAAGCTCAAAAATAATTAAAAAAAAAAACAGGTTCTTCTAACAAAATAAAAATCAAATACAGTTTTTTTTAATATGAGAAACGTAAAATTTCACCTAAAAGAGGYTTGTTGATATAATTAATGCTAAAATCATTCGCATTGAAACGAGGTTAGAAAACAACTACATTCAATATTCGCTATATTGAAGAACTCTTCGGTTTTTMAATTGAAAATTTTCTTTAACGGAAATAAATTTTATTTTTCGTTGAATATTTAGTTTCTTCTAAAATATCAAAATTTTATTTCAAAACGCAATATATGTATCTACACATTATAGATCGTGCCTAGATAAATATAGTAAAGATTCTTAATCTATTTTCTCTGTCGTTGTATAAATAAACTATGAACAATTTGTTTATGCCGCACTCGTTGGCCAATTGCCAACTTGCTGCTGCGCTAATCACACTTCAGAACAACAATGAATTATGCATAAACACACGTACACATATGTACGTGGGAAAATTTGCGCAGATTTCAACGAAWAATTTGAAATGAAACTGAGGCCAATTATGCGTGGAAAGTGATTTGGGTGTGGCGGCCATGACTTGATTTCTGGCTGTTGGCAACGAAAAGTCAACTGCAGATGCGCAAAATTAGTTATACATATACATATGTATATGTGTGTATGTATATGTTTATATTATATATTATATTAATACGCAAAACGAACGCGAAATATGTATTTTTCTTATTGCCGCTCTCAGCTGCCACAATTTAGAACAGAGTGGATTAAAAATGGAAAAAAAGAATTTCAAAAAAATTATACAAAAATATTTCTTCATTACATATTTTAGCACTATTTTAGCTTATTTACTTATCTAAACAAATTTTTGCATATCTCGAAATCAAATATTTAATGAAACTGTAATAAAATTGAATCAACTCTGACCACAAAAGYCCGCATTATTTATCCATTAATCCGTCAAACAGCGGAAGTTTGTACAGTGGTTGCCAAAAATAGCCAACTAGTGGGAATTGTGCTAATAAATAAGGCATTAATGCATAWGAAATGAGTTCACAATATTTGCCAAACAATATTGACAGCCGCTGGATAGTTGGCAGATGAAAGAATAAAATCGAAAAAACCAAAAATTGTAAATAAACAAATATTTTMATTGCAAAAGTACACAAAGCTTTTGACCTCATTGTGTGTGTAAGTGTACAAATGTGTGTATTTTTAGAGCGACACGCTTACAACGAAAACATAGATATTTGCCCAAGTGTGTGTGTGCCTTTAAAAACGCCGAGTCTAATGTTGTAGCCAAGTGTTGAAARCTATTTAAACGCAATGCGTTTTTGAAATGTTTGCGTTTATTATCGTCTATTTATTTGCTAAGCTTAATTAGTTGCATACGAGGTGCGTTCAGAAGTGATGGGAATTTTCGTTTAATGAAACAAAAAAACAATTATTCATTCGTCTACTTAATGTTGTCGCCTTCAAAATAGTGGACATTTAGTYTTATGGACTTATGACAGTGTTTCTTGCGATCACCGAAACATTGAGGTTTTGAATTTAGTTTAGTTTAGCCTTTAGTTTTTTCAATGATGATTATCTATATGTCTTGTAAAATGATTTATTTAAAAGTGTHTTTTCGAAAATATTAGGCTGAAGTTTGTGGAAAAAAATTTAAATGATGGAAAATTGTGTAATTTTTTTTTGTACACAAATATTTTGATAACACGTTTTGTAAATTTTAAGTATTTTTACTTTGTATTTCATTTTTATCACTTTATTCGAATTATTTATATTTATGTTCGAAAATTCGAAATACAATTTTCTCAAAGTTCTTCTAGTCCAATGCTATACAATGAATCAAAACGGAAATTCAATGGATCCAAAATGCTATAGCAAATTTCAAACTTCCAAATATCGAATTCATCGAACCTTTTTTATCGTTGGGAGAATTTAAATAAACTGTAAACATCGAAAAAATTGTATATCGAATTTTCGAACATTAAAAATTTGGAAATTCGAAAAAATAAACCACGCGATTTACGAGATAAATTTAAAAACTATATACTTCAAATAAAAAAAAGTTCGAGAACTGCCTAGTTTCGACATTCAAAATTTTTATTACTAAAAAATTTGATATAGTGTTGTCAGAAACCTTCTTGGACTTACATATACATATGTATATACATATGTATGTATGTATGTACGGTTTGCATATTTCAAGTAATTTCAGTTTCCTCATTAAAATTATTAAATTTTTGGAATTTCGATTTTTGCACTGTTCGAAAATACGGTATAGGGTGAGTTTTTATGTTTACTCTTCAATATTTAATTTTCGCAAATTAAACAAAACAAAATTTCGTAATAGAAAATTTGCTTTATACATAACTATTGAATTTTTTTTAATTATATTATTATTACTATTTAAAACCATATTAATTTGGTACTTGAAATTTGGAAAAGAAAGTTCGAAATTCTTATTTTTCGATATTCGATTTTTTCATTTCTCGAAAAATGGATATAGAGGATATATCGGAAAYATTTAAAAAATTATTCCATTTGAAAAGAATGCGTTTTCGAACTTCGGTAGAAAGTATTCCAGTCAGCATTAAGTTTTACTATAAATATTTCATATCAGAATATTTCATTCTAACTTGCTTAGCTTAAGTAGCTTTCAACGTATTCTTAAATATTCGTAATAAATTTTCGAAAAAGTGACGATAAAAAAGTTTTTGATTAAACCGATCAAGTAATTAAATACAATCAGGAGTAATTTTAATGACCATAAGTATACTACTGAGAAGCCAAAAGAAGTAATTTAAAACTTTTATATYTGAAATGTTATACCTATTGTCTTTTAGAGGCTAGAAAAAAGTTTTAGATTGGGATAGTTAAAAAAGTTAAAAAATCTCTAAGAAAAAATCAAAATTTTTATAAACCTCTCCASAAATAAAATAACTTAAATCCTGTTATGTACCGACTCGACGTTTTATTTCCACTGCCTGAATAAATTGTGAGGTTAGGGCCGAAATTGAATTGGAGAAAAAGAAATAAAAATAAAGAAATTTTATTGGTGAAATTCGATTGGAAATCAACGAATTTTAAATGGAATATATTTTTCTTTTAATTTAAAGTTTTAATTAAAAAATTTTAAGAAACCAAATTTTGTATATTTTTTACATTGAATATTTATGTATATATATGTCTTGTATGACATCTATCATCGCACTAATTATAAATATTTACACACGCTTATGAGTGGTGACTTCGCAATCAATTATTTACAACGAAAAAATGCATACCCGCTACCTTTGCTTTTTAGAGTATTTAAAGGTGCTTATACATATACTATACATATATATGTACGCAAGTATATGTACATATATTTATGCTGTACAACATTCAGTTAACATAGCGGAACTGTGAAATTGCTAAAGTTTACTAAATAGGCATGTATGTRGGCAGGTTATAATTGTTGTAGTTTAAGAGAGCGCTTCGACTTACATATCTTACCACCACAGCTTCACATTCACTACTAAATCCTTGCGCAGACTTGTAAAGGAATTTGGAAAAAGGCATTTTGCAACAATTTAGTTTCATCGAACAAATTCGAACACGAAAATTCAAGAAATTAATATTATTAAGTAATTAGTGTAATAAAACGGTAGATAAACTAGCAAAAMCAGTTGAAATTATGCTTGCGTTTAGCAAAAATAAATTCCAAAAAAAATAAATGAAATAAAAATAATTTCAAAAATAAATAGTTAAGAGGAAATAATGTATAAAAATAATTAAATACGTATTTTTTTTTTTTGTAGTTTGAAAAACACTCACCATATCATCGGTCAACTGCTGGTGYACATTGTCGCAGAAGATGCTCCACCAGAGCTGTATCAAGTCGGCGGCGTGCGCATACTCTGTGGGCGTCAGTGCTGTGCGGTTCTCGGAATTGAACTGTATGAGCCATGGTTTCAATTTGCCCGCAAAATGCAAAATCTTAATCTTATCTCTGAACCTGCAAAGCGCAAACGAAATGCATGAAAATCAAAAATGTTGRGTAAAATCGTTAGCAATAGAACACGCCACCCACTGTTTGAATGCGGGCAAGTAGCAGTACGAAGCGAATGCGGCCACATTGTAGATGAATGGCAAATGCTTCTTAATGTCGCTTTGCGCCCAATCGTCGAAGTACAAATTGAGCAAACCCTGATCACCGCCATCGAAGCTGCCATGCTCGAYGGCAAACTGTGTGATTTTGGCGAACGTCTCCAAGCTGGGACGATATACGAACACACCGGAGTTGAAGCAGTCGGGCCAGCTGACATCGGGTGCGGCCGACAGTTCTTCGCGCTCGAATAGCTCATCACTATTTTGCAGCACCTACAAGGTAGACAAAGGAAAGAAGAAACAAATTAATTGCAAATCACACGCCGTTTGCGTGATMGCGCGCTCATACACACCAGTGTGTCGGCATCGAGGAAGACGCACTTCTCGAATTGCACGAGGCGCCAGCAATGCAGTTTTGTGAATGTGACACCGAGTTCGGGGCGTGCGAGCAGTGCCAAATTGGCGGCATCCTGTGAGTCCAAAACATTCACCTCCTGCACGACATTGTAGACATCTTGTAGGCGCTGGCGCATGGCCGCCGATACGGCAGGCGTCACCAAGACGGCCAGCTGATGGGCGGTGCCGGTGCGGCGTAGMGAGTGCGCCAACACCAAAGCGCCCAGCGAGTACGTGTCATTCGTTGTTAGCGTCACCCACGCAAATTCTAAAGCGAACAGAAAAGTTGAAGAAAAAAACAACAATAAGAATATTAGACTAAATTCGTATTGTGAAAATACTGTTAGGGTTGAAAAATATAAGAAAATTAGACTAATAAAAATTCTTGAWATAAAATTCCAATAAAATGTTCATAGTTCTTTCAAGCTTCAGTAAGTTTTAATTTCTAGCCATTTCTTGGCTCATAAAAGAAATTATGTGCGGATAATATGAAAATATGTACAAAAATTAGTATTTTTTCTTTTGACGGTTCATTTCCGTTGGCGGTTGGCGACGGCGTTGTGCGTTGGGCTATGGTATGTGGCTGCTAGTGTGGTAGTAGTGGTTGCGGTCGGCGTAGCGCGGTGTTGGCGGCGGCAGCAGTTGGACACAGCACAAGCGACAGCTGCGTGCTTCAAGCGCAATTTATTAGATTTATTTTTAATTTCTTTTTCTTTGTTAGTATTTTAATTTTTGCTTAATGTTATTCTGTGAAATATGCTCAGCATGTGGGCGTAACGCCATTAGTTGGTCGAATATTTGCTTCAAATGCAATTTTAGTGTTTTGTAATTTAGTTTTATATTTTTATTTTGTTTTTGTTTTTTGTTAATACAATTTTAAAAGCGTTTTCGACAAAAAACGTATATCTATTAGCTTAACAAAATGTTGGGGAAAGCATAAATTTTAGTTTCTCTCAACAAAAGCTATATGATGCAATATATCGCAGAAGTACATACATAATATATAAAAAAATATTTTAAAAAAATATATATATAAAGATA